GAGCGGACAGTAGCCAGGCAGGTCGAGGGACTCCAGCTGGCTCAGTAACGACTTGATCTCTTTATTGAACTCTCGTTTGCAGATCGGCTCCTGTTCTCCAGGCCTCGGCTCTGATGCTTCAGGCACACCAGAGCTTGAGCCCAGCAGCTCTGAGAACCAGGACAGGAGCTGCTCCTGGGTCCACTGAAAGCTGGTCTGGCTGCCCAGCAAATCCCACAGCAGGGAGTCCCTCTTGGAGCAGGACTGACTGAGGCCTTTCTGCAGAAAGAGGGTGACTCTGAGAAGTGTTCAGGAGCAGCCAAGCCAGGGCTGACCCTGGCCCTGGGCTCTCCGTGGGAGTCCACCCCACCCAGCCATGGCCCCGGCTCTCACCCCTTTCCTCTCCAGCTGTAGCAGCCGCTTGAGATTCTTCTCCAGCAGGAGTTTGTCCTTCACAGGTGGCAGTGAGCCTAAGCCTTGGGCACCTAGGTCACTGTCCCGGCTGTGGGAGCCCAGCCAGCCAGCCATGAGGCTGCTATGGGAGTCGGACATGGAGCTGGAGCTGGATGGGTAGTTGTTGGGGTGTCCAGTGCAGAGGGTCGGCCGTACACGGTGCCGGTGTACAGTGCTGAGACTGGGCCGGGCATGTGCCCGCCGCCCACCACTTGGCACCTCCACTGGGTCCTGCACCTCCACAAGCGGCACCCCAGCCTCGGTCTTCATGGCAGCCATGCGCTCAGTTGCCTTCTCCACCACTGTCTCCAGGCTGTCCAGGACATGGCTCTCAGTCAGGAAATCCAGAAAGTGGCTAAAGGGCTGAGGGTGCCTCTTGTTTCGGCGTTGGTTCTGGAGCGCTGAGCTGCCACATGTGGATAGTGGGTGTGGCACATGGCCCGGCTTGGAGGCTGGCCCCATCTCTGGAACCAGTGGCTTCTTGGGTAGCTGCACCTGAGCAGACAGGTATGTCACAGTGGGCATGGGTGCCCTACAGGTGAAGGGCTCCCTGGGGTCTTCCTAGGGTAACACTAGGACCTGAGTGAGAGTGAGTAGTGGAAGAAGCTGCATTTTGGAGTCTGGAAGCCCTGGATTTGGACCCTGGCTCTGCCACCTACAGCCTGATGACAGTGTGCAAGATGGCCCCTCTTGAGGTCCAATTTCCTTATCTGCAAAGTGGAGGTCTATTCAGGGTCGCCCTGAAGCTTTCCTAACACCTACATTTCACACACACAAGTCCTGGCTAAGGGACTTAGCCTGCTTCTGCCCTGATACATGGCAGGATGAGCAATCATGAACCTCTTGGAGTCTCCCTCCAGCTCCTCATCTGTCCATGCAGCAGGCCATCCCTGTCTCCATGGCAGGGCTGCAAACAACACCTGAGGTCTTGAGTGCAGACAATAGCTGAGGTCTCGAGCCCTGTGCTACCCAGGGCTGTTTCTCCAACTTGAGCCCTAGGCACCTAGTCAACTCCCAGTTCCCACTCTAGGGTCCCAGTCCACCCAAGCACCTTCCAGGTCGCTGGAAGTCAGAAGGAAACAAGGAATGAAATTGAGTGTGACAGGGGCAAGCAGGGGAGTCATAGGAGAAGTCAAGGCAATAAGGACTCCGCTAAGAGGCCCACAGAGCAGGTCAATAGACAATGAGAAATGGGGGCTGTGGTCTTGGGTGTCAGGGTTAGCGGGGAACATGTTGTGGCCTTAAGGGTCGGGGTCCTGCTGGGCACACTTACTCGTGCACTGCACATGGAGTGGCTGGCCTCATCGTCAGCCACGTAGCCCGAGTGGTGGCGGCACCTGGCCATGTGGTCACCTGGCAGGTGACCGAGCCTGCTGCCCACCTCTCTCTTCAGCTGCGCATTCCTCTCTGCGCGGGCTGGGGAGACAACGTGAGGGTCTCCAATAGGTCCACACATCTGTGGCCCTGGAGTCTGCGGTTCCCTTGCTCCCCGCACCCCGCGTCCTTCATGCATCCAGCCCTTCCTCTGCTCCATGGCCCCCATGCGTCTGCAGGCAGGCAGTTCCCAGAGTCATCGGGATGGAATCGCCGAGGACCATCCTGTCTCCGATCATCTTTGGATCTGCGTGTGCTTAACCCTCCCTACTCCCAAACCCTGGGCAACCTGGCTTTCGCCCCAGCCCGGAATCAACAGACTCACCAGAAACACCGCCTTGCTCCGCGCAGGCCAGTACAGTCTGCGTCCTCACTGGGCAGCTACACAGTGCGAGGAAGTCGACCGGCGGCCTCCACTTGCTTATTTGCATACCACATCCTCATTGGTTCTTACCGAGGAGCTCATCCACTACCCTCTCCGACACAATAGTTGGGGGCGGGGCCCACATTGGCCCAACCTCCAATTCTCTGGACTCTGCCCTCCCACACTCGTCTGGGAGCCGCAGGGTGAAGATGCTGGTGTCTACGTCCCCGCTGCCGGGAGGACCCCCGCCCACCACCGAAGCTGGGGCTAGGCTCTATGATCCGCTCCTGCCCCGAGGGGAGTCTAAAAGCCAAAGCCGCGTCTTCCACCGGTGACACAAGCACTTTCCTCGTGTCCTCCCTGGTTGCTGCGCAGCCCTGGGCCTCCTGCTCCTGTTCCTTTACAGGGGCCTCTGCCCCTTCCGCGGTGTGCACAGCCCCAGGTTCTACCTTGAGACCTCTCCCCTCTGCAGTGGAGAGAGTGCTGGCTCTCAGTCACAGACCTAGCTTCAGTTCCTGGCTCTGCTCTTTCCTGCCAATGTGACTCAGCCTCTCTTAGCATTGGTCCTGCACTGTAAATGGGCTTGAGTGTTCTTCCAATATGGGAATACGGGATTCAATACAATCTCCCTACAACACACCCCGTATCCCAGTGAAGCCTTGAATATTCTTACCTCCTCTCCCTCCCTCCTTTTCTCTTTTGCTCAGTAATACCCCACCACAGTGTCACTTCTTCCAAAAAGCTTTTACTGTGAATTCTGCCACTCCGTACACGATTCACAGTAAACCCCATTCCAGACTCCACCATACCATGTTGCTACTTATGTGTCTACCAGATGGTGCTCCTTTGGGGCCAGAACTGAGGCAAGTCACCCTGAATCTTTAATACTTCCAGTGTCTGGCACCAAGTAGGTGCTCAATGAATGTCAGTCTCCTCCTTCCCATCTGCGCACCCTCGGGACCTCTCACCTTTCCAAGATCAGCTTCCAGTGGAGAATGGTGGTTGGTTGAGGTCTGACAATTCACCAGTCACTATAAACACAACAGTCGTTATGCCAAGAGCATGGTTGAAGGACTCTATGAGGCTTTCAATCCTCACATACCTCATGAAATATTGTTACTCTCGAGTTCTGCTCTGTCCTCTCAGCTCTGGCTACCCACTAGGTCAGGGACAGAGAGGACAAAGCAGGTCTGGGTGCAGGCCCTGAGCTGGGAGGTTCAGTCTTATCTCCACTACTCCTGGCAGGACCACACTTTCGCTCTCTGACCCCCCGTTTCCTAATCTGTGAAACAGGAATGACATTACCAATTTCATAGTCTGGACACAAATACCATGGGAAAAATCAAGACTGCTACATTGCAGTGAAAACTGTGGCTGCCTACCATATACAGTCATGGGTAAGGAAAGCTTTTCTGGAACAAAGAGAAAAACAGTGAAGTTATTAATGTAAAAGCTGTAGCCTGGCAGAGAGCTCAAGATGGAAACAGGAGATAATGTTTTCTCAAAAAAACCCATTAGTGTATATGCTTTCTTTCATTTTCTTAGTGTCTAGAGCTCAAGAAAAAATAAATAAATAAATCAAGAAAATGCCTGCTCTTATAAAAATCTGCAAAAGATCAATAGGCAATTTGAAAAAGAATAAGAATAGCTAATAATATGAAAATTTTCATTCACACGGCTATCTAAGAAACTACTAGAATGTGATAACATTGGTGTAATCATCTTTATGTTCTCAAAACAACACACAAAAAAGGTGGGTTGGGGAGAAAGGGAGTTGGGTGTGTTTATTTGCTTAGAGAAAACACTGGAAGGACACAACCCAGAAAGTTTACAATGGCAATCTCTGGGAAGGGTAGGAGATTTTTTTTTTTTTTTCTTTTTTGGTATTTTTCCTTTTTCTTTTTTTTTTTCTTTCTTTCTTTTTTTTTTTTGAGATAGAGTCTCGCTCTATCGTCCATGCTAGAGTGCAGTCATGTGATCTCGGCTCTCCACAACCTCCGCCTTCCGGGTTCAAGCATTTCTCCTGCCTCAGCCTCCCGAGTAGCTGGAATTACAGGCGCGTGCCACCACTCCCGGCTAATTTTTGTATTTTGAGTAGCGACGGGGTTTGCCCATGTTGGCCAGGTTGGTCTTGAACTCCTGACCTCGTGATCCACCCGCCTCGGCCTCCCAAAGTGTTGGGATTACAGGCGTGAGCCACTGCGCCCGACTTCCTTTTGGTATTTTTCATATTAAATATCACTTTTGCAGTCAAGGAAAGTTCCGCGTTGCAATGAATCCAGCACTGGTCTGGTTAGCGCGGGAGCTGTTGCCGGGTCCTTGCAGGGGCACGCCGGACCGCTAGGTGGCGAGAACAAAGGCGAAGCGCAGCCGCACCTGGGCGTGTGCGTCGGGGCGGGGCATGGGCAGC